ATGCTTCCAAAATTAGTTTCCCAGGGGATCTTATTAACAACTTCCCTGAATAGCCTGAAATCTACTCTCCCTATATCCAGCATTGAGGTTTTGGTGGCAGTTTTCCTCCTATCACTTTAAATACAACCAATTCATGGCCACTATGGCCAAGACGGCCACCAATCGGTCTTTCACTAAATGGTGTTTAAGGTACCTTCCAATCTAAGTCATTCTAAGACTGTACTATTTTTTCCCTCATAATATTAGGCTTTATAATTTAAATGACAGCTATAATGGAAACTCAATGAAAAGAATCCCAAAAATCAACAGCTTCAGAAATAAGCAGATGAAACATCATCTAATAAGAACGATTGTACTTATATTACCATGCAGTTTAATTCCAGCTAAGAATTAATGCACAATCTTTGCCTAATTATGTACTAATTTGTCAATATTTTCTTCAGCATAAGCTTTCTTACCTTTCTAAAACATTACTTAAATAAGCTTTCTACCTGATCTGCTTCTTTACACACAAGAACATTACTCAAAATGAAATAGTAGTATTGAACTAGTTAATTTTTTAATCATGATTTTTTGCAGCAGCAGAAATATTATTAAACTGAAGTCACTGTCGCAATAAAAATTGCAGAGATGTTCCCTAAACAAAAATGGGGAACAGAAACAAAGGATTTCAAACAAAAACATTTTCAGTCCGTTCAAAAAAAAAACTATGGATTTATTAAGTTAGAAGAATAGAAGTTAGTTGCCAAAAGAAAGTCTATTTCAAAAAGAAAGATCACGCTATATCAAGTACATTGTGCTGTGAAAAAAAAAAAAAAAAAGAGCCTGCTTAATTTCCAGAAACTGTTGACGATGGGAAAAAATGTGCATAACCACAACTGGAGTTTTCCAACTGCAATGCTGTACTCAAAACTGTGTGGTAAATTAAAGAAATAGCAGAGGAAAAATATGATCCAGTTCTTAGTGAATCATCAAAAACTGCTGTCTGCCACTAGACCAAAGATCGTAAGTCTTATCAGCTAAACAATCTATCCAAATAATTAAGTTCCCACTTAGAAGGCTAGAACTCAAGCACTATTTTCTCTTCTCGAACCAAGTGTTCCTTTTATGATTTGTAAGTTAGAGAATGCCACTTACTAACAGAATTATTAAGACAAAACAGATAATCTGCATCGAAAAACAGAATATGGATAATAAAAACTGAGAGATTCTTTTAATCTAAAGTATCATATTAAAGCTCAAGTGAACCACTACGTACTACATTAATCTTACTAACACCTTTCTGCTTTTCCTGTTCACATGACAGATTTGAAATGTATTATAAAGACTTTCAGTATACATTGTGAATCTACCAGAATTACTTTTATGTTTGCATACACATTTTCCAGGTATTTATAAAGAAACCTGCAATAATGAAAACTCATCTCCCAAAACCTGCTTATATCCTTGTCACTCCCTATGACATCTGAAAAGCTGTGGCAATCAGGTGAAACCCCTGGTGACTGGAAAAAAGGTAACACCATACCCATTTTTAAAAAGAGTAAAAAAGATGACCCCGAGAACTGCCAACCTATCAGTCTCATCTCTGTGCCAGGGATGATAACAGAGCAGATCCTTCTGGAAGCTATGCTAAGGCACATGGAAGGCAGGGACATGATACAGAAGAACTAGTATGTCTTCACCAAGAGCAAATCCCTCTCAACCAATCTAGTCACCTTCTATGATGATAGTGTCACTCAATCAATGGACAAGGGAAGAGCCACTGATATCATCTATCTGGACTTCAATAAGGCTTTTGACACAGTATCCTTCTCTCCAAACTGGAAAGAAATGGATTTGATAAGCAGACTGTTCAATAGACAAAGAGCTGGCTGCAGGATCGAGTCCAGAGAGTGGTGGTCAATGGCTTAATGTCTGGATGGAGAACAGTGGTGTCCTCTATGGATCAGTGCTGGAGCCAAAATTCTTATAATCATCAATGACATTGACTGCAAGTTTGCTGATAACACACCAAGCTGTGGAGTGCAGTTGACACACCAGAGGGATGGGATGCTATTCAGAGGGACCTAGCAGGCTTGAGCAGTGGGCCCAGGTGAACCTCATGAAGTTCAACAAATCTAAGTGCAAGGTCTTGCACCTGGGTCAATGCAACTCTCATTACCAATACAAACTGGGGGGATATAAAGACTGAGCTCAGCCCTGCCAAAAAAAGACTTGGGGATACTGGTGAATGGGAAGCCAGACATGAGCCAGCGATGTGCCCTTGCATCCTGGACTGCATCCAAAAAAAAGATAGGCCAGCAAGGCAAGGGAGGTGTTCCAGCCACTCTACTATTCAGTGGTCAGGCCCCACCAGGAGTACCGCATCCAGATGTGGAGTCCTCAGTAAAGGAGAGACATGGACCTATTGGAGCACATTAAAATGATGCGTAGAATGGAACAGCTCTCCTATGAGGACAAGCTGAGCGAGCTGTGACTGTACAGCCTGGAGAAGAGAAATCTGAAAAAAGACCTGATAGCAGCCTTTCAGTACCTAAAGGGAAAAATACAGGAAAGAAGGAACAGACTCCTTGGCAGGGTCTGTGGCGATAGAACAGGGGGAACTGGCTTCAAGCTCAAAGAAGGTAGATTTAAGTTAGATATAAGGAAAAAGTATTTTACAGTGAGAGTGGTGAGGCACTGGAACAAGTTACCTAGTGTTGTGGTTGATGCCCCATCCCTGGGCACTTTCAAGGTAAGGCTGGATAAGGCCCTGGGCAAACTGATCTAGCTGTGATGTCCCTGTTCTCTGCAGAGAGTTAGACTAGATGGCATTTAAAGGTCCCCTTGAACTCTAAGGATTTGATGATTCTATCTTCCTATTCAATTGCTTTCATATGGTACAGATAGCTGCAAGATAGTTCTAAACTATGACTACAATTACTAGTTTTTCTTGAATGAATATCTGCAATTGAAGAAAAACAAGATCAAGTGACTAATGAACTTCAAAGCTTCAAACATCCATTATCTATAGAACTAAAAAGAGTTCAGAGAATGAAGTGGAAAAACTTATTGAACAAAAAAGTCTGTATTCTGGTTCTGCTACTTATCTTAAAACTGTAAACTCTGTATTTACATCTTGGTATTTTGTGTTCTCTGAGAAACACAAATGCATTTAAAAAAAAAAGTCATGGAAGCTTCCTGTATTTTCATAGAACATGAAATGACAAGATGACTGACAAAGCTTCTCACAAAAACCTAGTATTTTATATTTATTTGCAAGAGAGAAGGCAAAAATATGTGTCTAAGTTAAGACCCTTTCTAACAACATTAAAGCTTACTTTTAAGTCCTACCCCCACACTTCTGCCACTGTATAGAAGCAGTCTATGATTGGAAAGTCTTTAAAACAAAAAGCAACACCTCAATCAGTGGGGCAGTAGGGAAAACTTAAGCTGAGACTAGTACTGGAAAATATCCCCTGTGATCGTTCAATGAAATCACTCCAATGCAGACCTGAAAAGCCAATAAAACCTATGAAATCACAAGAAAAATAACTGGCTAAGTTGTCAAAGTCAGACTAATGAAATCTTCTCAGAACTAAGTAAAACAAACTCACAATGACAATAATAATGATAGAGTCTCATCTAAACATTACCTACTTTAAAGATCTGACCACCTGTTTGGCTCTATTACCTCCCAACCAGCCTTTGCAAATACGAAATATATTGAAACTTCTGTCATCTGTGATTAACAGTCAGTTAATTTAGGAAGTATAAAACAGCATGAAGTAATGCTCTTTCAGATGTATTACATGCTAGATCTATCATATACAACAATTGTTACCATCAAATGCTAGAATAAACATACAAAAAGAATTAAGTCACAGAATCATAGAATGGTTTGGTTAGAAGGGACCTTTAAGATCGTCTAGTTCCAACCCCCCTGCTATAGGCAGGAACACCTCCCTCTAGACCAGGTTGCTCAAAGCTCCATCCAGCCTGGCCTTAGATGCCTCCAGGGTGGGAGTATCCACAGCCTCACGGTGTAACCTGTTCTAGTGTCTCACCACCCTCAGAGTAAAGAATTTCTTCCTAACATCTAGTCTAAAACTATATTCTTCCAGTTTAAAACCACTTCCCCTCATCCTGTTGATGCATGCCCTTCTAAAATGTCCCTCCCCAGTTTTTCTGTAGGATCTCTTCAGGTACTGGGAGGTCACTATAAGGTTTCCCCACAGCCTTCTCCAGGCTGTAGAGCCCCAACTCTCTCCGTCTGTCCCTGTAGGGCAGGTGCTCCAGCCCTGTGACCACCTTCGTGGCACTTTTCTGGACCAACTCCGCATGTCCTTCCTGTGCTAGAGGCCCCAAAACTGGATGCAATACTCCAGGTCTCCAAGTTTATGCACATTCATAGCACAGAACTCAAGAATAATTTCAGTTAAAAGTCTTAACCTGAAAACTCACAAAACTATCCCAGAATCATCACTACACTCAGATTTTCAAGTCAATAGAACTAATAACTAGCTGTTTCTACCGTTAAAAAAAAATGTTCACTGACATCTGTACTCTGTATCAGACAAACTTGCACAGTGTGTGCCACAGATATTGTCCTTTGTGTCGTACAAGCCAAAGAAGACAGAAACAATTGGCATTACAAGCAGTACAAGCTTCAAGAAATTAATTTTATCTTGCAGCTTTTAGAAGCACGACTCACTTTTGTTCTCTAATTTCATTTGACCGTATCCAGAAGACAAAATACATGAGTTTTTCTAACAAGTTAAAGGTTATGACTTTTAATCTGTTGCTCTTGAAAACAATAGAGAAATGGACAGATACTTGATGCATGATGCAGACTGTTAAACCTGCTAATGTAAAAATCAGGTTTTGATTTGAAAACCCTAAAAATTCTTCAAATTTTGGAGCAGGCCTGTAGATACTGAGAGGATTTGTTCAACATAAACACACTTCATACAGAACACACAGAAAATGTAAGCACACTGCAAGAAATGAAATGAAATTACCTGAAGTATCTTGTAATGATCTTGATGTGAAATAGCTTTTTCTTTTTTCTCCTTCAAGAAATTCATTTCTTGAACACTATGTTTTTCCAGTAAATATTCTAATTCCTGTAAAGATTACAAAATATAATAAAAGCAGTAAAAATGTTTGTGAGCTGTGGAAATACAGATTTAGGTCATTGTTCCAACTAGCTTCAGTTCTGAAGACAATAACATTTTGTATCATAACATCAGAAGATACTTAAAGTCAAGCGTTTCCATATTTTAAGTGGTTTCTGTCTTTCTACAGTTGAAAACCTTAAGTACTTTTAGAAAATGGTTTACTAAAACCTCCATCTCCAAAATGACTAGAACCTTAATGTAACCAACTCCCAACATGACCCAAATAAATGGGAGGAAAATGGCACTACTGACTACTAATTTCCAAAATTATTTGCTGTACAAAAAGCTAAAGACCTTTTTTTTTTTTTCCATGTAGCTGTTGCTGCTACCAAATGCTTCTCTATAAGTAAGCTGTGGACACCTTTCAGTTGCTCAAGAACAACTATTTTCTCAACCACTGAAGAAGCCAATTTAGAAACAAATGAGCAGCCAAACCACTGGATAGCTATTAAAAAAAAAAAAGTGCTACTGAGACAGTCAAAAGGAGGACAAAAGGAGCAGGTAGGCTTAGCTCATTCCTGGATGAAATAAGGACAGCATCTGAGATTCAGAGTCTGATTTCAAGCATAGAGAAACAGACTTTGCAACACTTCTGTATGTATAGCAGGCATGTCCAACCCACAGCCCACGGGCCACATATAGCCTGGCCCAAACTCGTTCTGTGGCCTGCTCCCTCCTCCCTGACACCATCATGGTGGTGGCTCTTCCCAATGTGTGCCCCAAGTGTGCGCCCATCACTCAGTCACAATCACACAATCAGTGTGCAATGGGCACTTTTGAGGCTGAAATCAGCACAAGGTGGGATGGAGGGAGAGAGTGGAGTGCATAGTGCAGCATTAAGGCAAAGAATTATATGCATTTTGATAATTGGCTATATGCAGTCCTTTGAACAGTGAACAATATGCAACCTTGATTTCTATTTTGACAAAGGAATTTGTCAAAAGGTTTAAAGATTGCTTAGAAAAATCACCATCTTTTTTCATATATTTACAACTACATTTTCAGTTGACGTAAATGCATTACTTGCAAGTTTTCAAATAGAATATACGGAGTTACAATCAGACATTCAACTCGAAGAAAAATCTGACAATGTCTCTCTACTAGACTTTAATAAGACCTTTCTGATGAGAGAAAAATATCCCTTGCTTCACAATCACATTCATTATGCTTATTCATGCCATCACTTTTTTTTTTGGCAGTACGTGTATTTATGAACAGCTGTTTTTAAGGGTAAAGGACAAGAGTGAAACTCTTTGATGAACAAACACCTTGAGAGCTCACTAAGAAGTGCAAACACTTTCAATGCCAGTGAACAAGGTTTGTTAGTTATATAATGTTGTTAAAGTGGCCCAAGATAATTCCTCATCACTCAATGAGGCCCAGAGATGCCAAGAGGTTGGACACCCTTATATAAAATAATATTATATAAAAATTTATATATAATATAAACATTATATTATATTATATAAATATTATATAATATATATAATATAAATATTATATATAAATATATATAAAATTATATAACAAATAGTGTTTATTTCTTTGTATGTCTCTCTTATAATCTGTACTCATACTACTCTTACTTCCCTTTTGGTATGCTCTTAACTTCCAGGAATATCAATTCACAGTAGATCTTCCCAATCCTGTCTTAATTACTCATTTCCACCTTCATTTTTATTTCCAACAAATCACTCCCTTCTTCCCTAGCACACCTTGGTTCCTATTGATGGATAGTATTAAGTATACAACAAATTTAACTTTCTTGTGGTAAGAGATTTGGTCTGAGTTAATGTCTCGAAAACTAGGCAGGAAAAGAAGATGTTGCAGTCACCTGCAGGATCACCTGTGAGAGACTGAGGTGTTGCCCAGCCTCTTCCCCGGAAGGTCCTAGAACAACAGACAGTATATGTGAACCACGTAATAAAACGTATAAACACCACTGGATGACCACAACTGTCAGCAGAGACCATAGCTGGATCCACTTTTTCTCCTTTTCACTTTACTTTCACTGTTGTAATTCTGTTGAGTCTTAAGTAAATTTGTGATTTATCTCAAGTAATTGTCATCAGTCCTGGTTACCAGAGAATTAAAAAGGTAATCTCACCCTAGCCCACCAAGAGGATAGGACACTTACTCTCTAGCATGACCTTTGATTTACTCAGATACACAACAACTGTACAACACTCAGTGTGGAAGCAACAGGAATTTAGTTACCACATCTCCCAAGAGGAATTAAAAAAAAAAAAAAAAAGCATTATATTTGTATAGACAGCCAAAGGCACTTCCAACTTCATAGACCACACACACTCCCACAACATTGTTAAGACTTCGTACCATATGATTTTACACTGCGACATTTTGTCTTTCTAAAAACTGGCTCAATTTGGTTATTTTCTCTTAGAGAGTAAATGTAAGATTATTTATTTATTTATTTATTTATTACCAAAAAAAGAAACATACCTTTTTAATTTTTAATTTTTCTTCTTCAGCAGCACAAAGATTGATTTCTAGATTTGCTAGAGTTTGTTGAAGGCAGCTCTTTGATTCGTTTGTTCTCTGTGTCTGAGCATCATCCGTAGCAATGGATGATGTGACTAAAGACTTATCTTCTGTTAAATTCAAAGAGGCAACTGGAATATCTACTTGAATCTAATTTAGAAGGAATACAAAATGGTAAAAGAGATAGCAAAGAGAATTTAATATTCCAGTCAAGTTAAATTTCATTTCCAATTGAAATTACAGATCTTAATAAATGTAAACAAAAAGGTTATTTATTTGTAATCATACTTTGTTGACATCATACATATGAGAGGGTGCATGGATAATGTGCTAGCCAAAAAGAAAGCTCCAACAATGGCACAGTAGCTAGAAATTCTACTCGCATTCAAATCAATTCTTCACATCTCAATTTCTTTTTCAAGAAATACTTTGTAGAATGCTTTTAAGAAGGAGGCTGACATCAGATACTTCCGTTCTGAATGAGGTCAAAATACTAAAAATATGTGAAAAGGGGACAAGAGCGAAACAAAATTCATTGGTCTCAAAGCATCAGGCTTGCAGACAAAAACTCTCCATGGATTAGTCACTCCTTGTTTTTCATCCAATGAAGAATACAAACAGTAGCCATAGAAAGTGAAGTGATTAAATAGATTTTAATTAAAATCAGAATACATTTTTTTAGCCAAAATAAAAATACTGAGAGTACACCAACAGAGTAAGAGTAACTGAGACATGTCTGCAACAGTTAGCTAATGCTATTTCTGTAAACCGCACAAGTGCAAGAACTGAAACAGAGGCCTCTTGAATGTACTACGTAAGACAGAGAGTACATTAACGATACCATACTTTCAGCAAAGCATAAAAATAAATTAGCCAAAATTTTAAATGTTTCATGGTACAACTAACAGAAGATACAGCTTCATTTTTTTTTCCCAATTGAAAAAAAAACATCAAACACCTTACTTGTTTGTATAGCTGCAGAGGAATTTCAAAGGAAAAAGCTAGTACATTAACTTCAGCTACCATTTGTTTTCTAACAACTTTTTGAAAGCTAACAGCACTTGAGATTTAGGGGGGTAGCAAAGGAACATCTCAGTATGTTTTTTAGGAGAGGACTGAATGGTATGATGTAGTCCATTCCCCCAACACATTTTATTAAAGCAATCACTAAAGTAATCAACCGACTTTTTCATTACTAGATTCAATGAAAAACAAGCAAAAATAGCAGAGACCTTGACTGTACAAGAATGTGTAAGGATCCAGAATATACAACAGGCAGAAAGAAATCTGCAGTTTGTTCTCTCAATTCACTTTCTGTCAGAAACAAAGAGGATCTAGATTTGGCCTGGGACCCCCAAAATAAGGACGAGGACCTGTTATCCAAAGCCAAGAGAAGGCCAAAACCATGATGAAAGGGCTGGAGCACCTCTCCAATGGAGTCAGGCTGAGAGAACTGAGCTTGTGCAAGCTGGAGAAAAGAAGGATCCAATGAGACAGACTGGAAGTATTTAATGGGGACCTACAGGAAAGATGGGGAGGGACTCTCTTAACAAGAAGTGTAGTGATAGGACAAGGGGTAATAGTTTCAAACTAGAATGAATTATTTACTCAGAGGGTGGTGGAGCACTGGCACATGACGCCCAGAGAAGCTATGAATATACCTCACCCCTTGGAGGTGTTCAAGGCCAGGATGTATGGGGTTTGGGCAACCTGATCCAGTGGGAAGTGTCCCTGCCCAGGTTGGGTAGGGCTGAGATTAGATGATCTTTAAGGTCCCTTCCAAACCAAATAATTCTGTCACTCTTTGATTCTCTGAATTTAAGAGAAAAAATAAAATTCATTCTAATTAAGGGGAAAAATAAATATTAACTCTCTAGCTGTAATATCACTTAAGAATTAAACAGAAGTATATCTTTACAGATTTAACAGTAATATATATATGCACACACACATATATATGTACAGAAATTTTTGCAACCAGTTCCTATTTTCATTCCTAGTACTATAAACAGGCCTTTAATATATCTATCAATCTTGCAGTCCATACCAAACCAGTATGAAATCTCCCAATTGGAAGACTTACACACTGTTCTCCTATGTCCCAAACTCCTACGGAATCAAAAGCTTACTTGAGAATCTAAATCACAAAAATTAAAGGGCCAGCATTTGCTCTTAAAACACAAACTAAATTTGTATAGAAAAAATGTAATGCTCAGATATTTAATACATCAAGTTATCCTGTTGAAATACAGATTGTGATTGCTGCTTTACCTGTTCTTCAAGAACAGCTGAGTTTATCACATTGTTGGCTGTTTGAATAGATGTTGCCACATTATCACTTGATGAAGTGAATGAGTCAGAAGGATCCAGGAAGGATGAAGGCACACAGTGCTCCAGAAGAACATCAGGAGAAACATTCTGAGCTATATGGACTTCAAACTCTAATGCAAGAAATAGAAACAGAAAAACAACAAACAACTTGAAGATGCATTCAAAAATTATGTTTCTGAAATCTAAAATTTCACAATAGCAAAAAGTTTAAGGATTCATAGTCAAATAAGACTATGTAACTTTCACAAACTAATTGTGCTGAAATGTAACTCCATACAAAGTTTGTTTATTTTTAAGTACTACCATGTTAACAACATGCAAATTTATACAGTCACACTAAATTTAGACTTGTAATTTACAAAGAGGTTTCAGGAGGCAACTGCTATCCTTATCTATTGTCTCTTCTCAGAGCATTTTAGTTTTAGCATGATCTCAAATCAGTTTAATTCAACTGTAAAAACATATTTGCTAGTTCCTAACTTTTATAAATTTTTACCAAGACACTTGATAAAAGCAAGTATTCATTTTAGAACAGATCAAAAAAATAACAATATAGTTATCTTTTGATAACAAGTTGGTAATTTTACAGCTAGTAAAGCAAAAATGTAATTAAATATTGGTGCGAGTTCTTTCATAGCAATTGCCATTTATGCTGCAAGAAAAGGAAGAGAGGATATTTACCAACCCTGCACTACAGAAAATAGAGTGCTTTTACGACAGATTCAGATACACAGTAAGTAAAAAGAAATCTTTGCTTACTTTCTTAATTTAACAACAAAATCCTATGATCTTTTATTTTCACAATTCTGCCCATACACGATGTTTCTGTGATTAAAACTGTTAGCACAAACACAAAAACCTAGTGCAACACTGATTCCCAAGTTGTTACCATCCATACTTTGGTTATGATTACTAGAATACAGCCACTGTTCAAACAAATAATTTATCACAAAAGTAAAAAACATGAGACTGGGACACATAAGACAGCTTTTCAAATTACACAGTGTTTTTTTTGTGGAACTTTTATAATCAAGTTGAGCTTTCAGTGACTTTCAATAATAAAAGTTTCAAATTTTGAGGAGAAAGAAAAAAAAATAAAAATAAAAATAAATTCAAAATATTCTCAATTCCTCAACTGTCAAAACAAAGCCTGGAAAACAAGGAGCAACAAATGATACCCACTCTGAACACTATGTTTTCAACTAAAACACATGATCCACGTGATCTTGCAGAAGACAAGGACTAAAGGAAAAAGGACAAGGAAAAACCTCTGAGGTATCTTTTTTTTTTTTTTTCCCTCCCAACAAAGCTTTTGCTTTCAGCAGCATGGACTCATCATTCTAGGAAAATCTAATTAGTATTTGCTATGTCTGTAATTCAAGCTCTCAACTTTTTTTTTTTTTTTTTTTTTGTATTTAACAGGTGATACGAAATTGAATTAGTATTTTAGTTCAGCTTAAAACATCCTTATGAAGATCATCCTTCAATCCTGAATAATATTATGCTTATGTTTCTCAAATTATTATGCTTGTTTTGTACTCCTAGATTGTGAGTGTCTTGCTGTGTTTTCTCTCCAAGAGATCCTGAAGTGTTTAACATCCCTCAGAGGGGTGAAGTAAGCTGAAGAAGGCCTCAGTTACAGCAGGCAAAAGCAGCAATGTCAGCTGTGTTGGTCTGCCCATTAATCCAGACTCATAAATTCATGACTAATTGCCTACCCCAAAACAGAGTTCTGTGCCTTCCAGCTACTCTCTTACAGAAAAGGATACTCCCTGCCCCAGCTTTCAATTCTTAAAGGGCCTACCCTTCATCCATTCCAACATTTTAGTCATTTGAGCTATCTCCATTTTGTCTGTGATCCCAGTGAGATCATAGTTCTGCACACAGCCTTCTAATTGCTCCAGTTTGATCATCACATACTGTGTTTCAATGTAGCAGACACTCCAGAGAGGCCCCGTTAGTACTGATTTCTCAAAAGAGAAATGAGAGCTCTGCTAATAACTACACGCATTTACTTATTTATGTGTGCATACCTGGGGTGATCCCAGTTCAACATCTTTTCTATTTCCATCTACTCAGACCCTTTGCTTGTCACTCTGTTCACCATTTCCTCACACAGTCACTCCTCCCCATCTCCTAGTTTAAAATTTCATGAACTAGTTTTGCTTTTATATTTTTAAGGTTCACATATTACCGTTAACAAACATGAAAAAGAATTTACGCCATATTGGTTCAGAATACAGCCTACATTACAGATTAAAACTAAACTTTCACTTACATCATCTGATAATTCACCTGCATACAGGTACAAACAGGGTTTTTCTTTTTCTTTCAGAGTAACAAAATTAAGTCTTACAAAAGGAAAACAGATTGGTTCATAACAGTCTACATACATTGCTCTGAGAGTAATAAGCCCTATTTGTGTTCATGGAAATTGCAACAGATACAAAGAGCACTGTATGATGGAACTATCAAACTTTGTAACTGTTTCTCAGCTGTTTCACCAACATTAGATACACGTTTTCGTCAACGATGAACAACAGCCTGTACAAAGAGTCTGTACACTGTGTTTATAAAAATCTACATGGCTGTCCAGAAGGTGGTTTATCTTTCACTTTGCTGTCATTACAGCTGAAATGCACCATCCACCTCTGAAACCCACCACTCATCACCTCACTGTGCTGACATCCACTGTTTGGCCTCCATAAACATTCAGCAAACATCAATGAATGCCAGTGGGTGCCATTTTTCTGCATGGAGGAATTCAGTGACACAGCTTTGCTTCATACGCACTACCACATCAAACATCATTTCGTCAGACTGATCCTCTGCTGTCATCTGTTGCATGGCAGAAAAATGTAATGGAATACTGGTGGGAAGGTTAAATCTCTACTGCCATACCACCAACATCTGCCTCTGACATTGTGAGCCAATATAATAAAATGGGAGGCATTACATTTAGATCAGCCTTCATTCTCAGCCCTTGCAACAAACCCTCCATACTCAAAATTGAGAGTTTTCTTTGAGTAAAGCAGTTCCATTTTTTGTTTTTGTTTTTGTTGTTGTTGTTGTTGTTGTTTTAAATCCATGATTGACTTAAGGGCCAATCAGAATTTTAATTGGATAAACTATACTTATCTTTCTCACTTGTATTCCTCAATGAAGTGCAACTTTGAGAAGTACAACTTCTGAAAATAATTACTCAGAAACATTCTTATGCCAATCTTTCACTCTCATCCACTATTTTATTGCATATATACACTCATGCACTAGCACTTACAATGAACAGAGAACAGTAATACATTATTAACAATTTCAACCCTGGGCTTTCTATTTATTGTTTTTCAAAATCAATACCTGTAGGAAATGCTGCCCATGGAATAGCAGGAGATGTAGTCTGCTTGTCCCCATTTCCACACTCATAGCTCTCTGCTGCCTACAAACACAGAAAAAAAAAAAATTATACATTTTATAAAATGCTATACATATAAAAAAAGTTTAAACTTATTTACCAAAGTTTTCATATAGTAGACAGGAAAGTAAGTTTCTAAGTAATTTATCTAATTGCACTGAGCATGCATCTTACTGTCACAAAACTATAGAGTTGAATCAAATATAAATAATCTATGGAGCACATACAAGGAGAGCGTGTTAGAACCAGAGAACTAAAAACTCTCAGTCAGCAACATAAAAATGTCTGAGCAATGAAGCAATATAAATGTATAATGTATAATAGACCAGATACATGGTATGTATAGAAGTATGAGAGACATGTTTATCGTTGAACAAATATGAGCTATGTTTAACAAACAGAAATTTAGTTTGATGTTTGATGTTTAGTTTGAAATTTAGATTGATGATACTTGAGAATACACTGCTTAGGAAGTTAAAGATTAAATAAAATCTATTTGTCATCCCCGACTTCAGTACAATTCCAGAATAAAATATTAGTTTGCATTACTAAAGTATGTAACTATTAATTTGACATTTTCATGAAGTTAACAAAATTAACAGAAGCAGAGGTGTAATATATTTCTTGAAAATAATACTGTCAGAACTGTTTTCACATAAACAGTTAAGTTTCAAAATTAAATCAACATACCTCAAATCCCCCAAAATCATCATCATCCATTTTTCAACAAGTACTACAGTATGGTAGAAATCCTGATTTAAAAACAAAACCAAAATCACCAATTATTTACATCCTGTTTACAATGCAATACACTGCAGGATAATGAATACACTTCATTGGTCAGTTTCATAAGACAAATGTCTCACAATCAACTAATTTTATGATCAACTAGGAGTCAAAAGAAAGAAACCTGACTCCTACATTTTTTATGTATAATAACTCAGTTAATATACTGTACTGTTATGTATAATAACTCAGTTAAATGACAGATGGATAAATACTTGGATACAAATTCCTAGCTTATCTATTGTGCTCTTCCTAACCTTATCACCTTCACATTCAGAAAAGAGGATTCAGCCATTCAATGCTCAACTCCAACTCCACAAGCTATCTGCAATCACCCCACTGTACAAATTACACAAGACATCAAGAGTCCTATAAAAAAGAAATTAAAAAAAATTCACACAGAGGTTACAAGGGCTAAAGCTGCAAATTTCCTTTAAGAAGCAAATTTTTATTGATACAAGTAAAAAAAAGTTTGAACTTTTAAAGTTGAAATATGAAAACCTTCAAGAGAAAAGATAAGCACAATACTGAACTTCTCAAAATAAGACAGTAACAAATGCTTTTTAAGATGGAAAAATGGGAAAAATTAATTTTAAAGTTATGTCTATTGCTCTGAAACATAGCAGTCAATTCTCTAGTACCTACGTAAATGATACTAACAGCAACACAATCCAGTTTATCTGAATATTAAAAAAAAAAAACAATTTCAGACCATTAGATTCTGAAATAAATTATTTTCTTAATAATGAACACAACTCAATTTAATGATACAGAAAAATATGCACTATAATTTACAGCTCTGTGATCAGGAATTAAAATATAAAACACTGTCTACTCTTAAGTTGCTTTTCCAAATCAGCACTGTAATTAAATCAAATTTTCCTATTTATTCTTAGCTGTCAGCACAAACTGCAGCTCAGAAAAATCTTGCAGTGAATTTCTGGAAATCTTTTTGCTACCACAGAGGTCCTTCTCTAGGTTTCATGTAGGGGTTGATTTAGATTTTACAAACTGATCAGCATTTTTGAGTTGTAGCCCTAAATTCTGTGGTATTTTGAAATATTTATAGTTAAGCTGACATTCCTTTTACAAAACTGCAAGATAAGTTGGGTTACTTTCATTAGCAACGTAAGATATACATGGCTGTTCATGGAAGGGTATTATACAGTGAAAAAAAACTCACCATGGTATGCAAATGAAGGATACAAAAAGACTTTTTTTTTAATGTCAAAACACTTGCAAAGTTAATTGACTTCAGTTTATAGGATGGTGAAACTTAATACTACGAAAGCACATCTTCAGAAACAGAAGAATTCAAAAGGTTTGGAGGACATCTCCAGATTTGTGTCAAATTGGATACCTTCAGTTTATATCCTCTGTTGAAAAACACTACCAGGAAAAGCTTAAATAAACATCTTCCGAACTTCAACATATTTATTTCCAAGTTCTTATTGATAAATTTCAATTAAATCACTATTGAAATGTAAGTAGATCTGGTTGAACTAAAAAAGAGCATGATCCAATATTTACTTTTGATTTTCAGAACTACACATCTTTTAGGGACTGCAAATGTTATTTTGCTTCTGAGGGAGAAGGTGATTGGGTATTTTTCCAGTCAGTATTAATCTTAACTGGTCCAACATTCACGCATTCTGTTAACATTCAGAACTTTAATATGCTACTGAAAAATATGAAATACGCAAAGATAAATCACAGCAACAAAAGAGAAATTGGAACAGCACTGCAAAATCAAGGCAGCCATGTATAAATGAGAAAGTGAACATACAGTAATAAGTGGCATTCCAAGACAAGTTGGCAACTATAAAATTTAACCTGATCTTTAATCTGAGGTACTGAAAGGAATCTGAAAATTCTGGATGAATTATTTTTACTATAGAAGGCTGCTATGTTAAATGAGCCCTCCTCTTGATTTAAAAAGAGCTTCATTGTGGAAAAGAATGTAAATTGCTACATATATAAAATCATAAGAACACTCAATAATTGCATTCTGTTTAATTTGAATTAAAATGTACAATAGTAATAGGTTTTTTGGCATTAATGATTATTGAAGTACTTCTAGTTTCATTTAACCCTGTATACAGCCTGATCTACTTTGCAACAGAATTTTTTTTTTAATATACTTAAGACAGTTGATTCAGCTAACAAAAATGTTTCTGTAAAAAGGTGAAACAGCTTTTTTAACTCTTACTTTTGTTGATGTGCTTGGAAAAGTCCAAACTAAGTGCTGTAGAATAAACTCAGTCTTAAAAACATGTTCCTGAAATATATCTAATACTTTCAGTGTGTGACATACTTTCAGAAGGATCGTGAGGCCCTGCTTTCACGGTCTGTATTCATTCTGAAAATCAAGATCAAGCGAGCTTTTGCCCTTCTGCTTCAGTGTGGCTTAGTACCTTAACAAGGGCTTATAAAGCTACGTAATAGCAACGTTCTAAACCTATTCAAAGAAACAGCATTCATATAGCAATCAAAGCTAAAAATCTTTAGAAAAGCAAATGATTCTTTATCTACACTATGCATGTCATGGCTTCAGGTGCCATAGGCTGTACTAGAAGTTACTTCAAAATACCACATTCCAAATAGCAGATTTTCTCACCACAGAGCAAGAGATACTCTCTTTTTCTCAGAACCAGTTGTTAAATCTCAATGGGATAAAATACATTCCACATTTAGTACCATGTTTTATAACACAAACTGGAAGAAATTCAGAGAACTTTTGGAAAGGCACACTGAATTAGAGAAGTCGGGCTGAGGGAAAACAAACAAGAATCTATAAAATATGAAAGATAATATTCAAAGAACAACACCGATCAATTAATTTAATTTATCATCACATGCACCACTTCTGTGCAGTAAGAACAGATGTCTCTGTAGGAAAAACATGTATTAAACATTAGCAAGAATTTCCAAAAAGGCAACAACAAACCCCAACAAGAACACTTCTAAGAACTTAGAGATACATAACATAGAATTAAGTCACTTTTCACACACACGCTTATTCTTATTGGGTCCATCATCTTTACATTACATTTTACATATAGTATTCATAATTTTGAGATCATCATCAGATTTATCTTGACTTAACACTACCTTGCTTCACAAATTTTAGCAGGCATTTCTTGGCTGTTTGGCTAGCACAGTTTTGAATCATGCCTCATTTAATCTAAATGGAACACAGGAAAAAAACTCCTAAAGAAATCCAAGAAGTATCAATGGTGTTTTCCACGTCCAACTGCTAATCCACTGATTTCCAAGTCTTCAGAGATTCCATATGAATTGTAGTCTAAATGGTCAACCAGCTAGGAAGGATCCCTTGCTATACAGAAAATGCTTTAATACGCTTAAAGGCACCTCTGCTTTTGAACAAAAGGCTAAGCTTCTGGTCTGTAAAAAAAGAAACACTAGCCTGCCTACATATTTTGTTTAATGAAGACAAAAAAAAAAAGAAAAATCAGAATGTAACTGCAAATTTAGCAGGTATATGAGTAAGCAATGTATAGACCAAGCCCTAATGAACTTGGACAAAAGACATTTCAGAAATTCAGTGGTTGACAAGTTCACTTTTGTTAAAGTCTTAGTATAAGAATTATTATTACAAGACACTGTCTTTCCAAACGCATATTACTTCTTGCATAAAACTTTTCTTTCCTTATAGACTGGGAACAATATTTCATAGAATCATAGAATCATTTGAATTGAAAGAGACCTTTAAATGTCACCTAGTCCAACTCCCCTGCAACTGGAGGGGCATCTACTGCTAGATCAAGTTGCTCTGAGTCCCCTACATACAGTCTAATCTTGAACATCCCCAAGGACGGGCCTTCCATCACCTCTCTGGGCAACCTGTTCCAGAGCTTCATTATCTTTATTGATAAGAACTTCTTGCCTGTTATCACCTCCCTGTCTTCCAAGTATCTTAGCACAGCTTCCAGAAAGATACACTCAATGACCTTCCCTGGCACTATGGTGAGGCTTACAGATTGGTAGTTCCCCGAGTCATTCTTTCTACCCTTCTAAAAAATGAGTGTGACATTGTCTTTTCCCCAGTCACCAGGGACCTCACTTGACTGCCACAACTATCACTGAGAGTGGTCTGGCAACTACCTCAGCCAATTCCTTCAGGACTCTGGGATGCATCTCATCAGAATCCATAGATTTATGGATGTTTAAGTTCCTTAACTGGTTGCAAACTTGATCTTTGCTCTCAGCAGGAGAGACATCACTTCCAGAGTTCCCACCTTTTGAATGATCCACTCAGAGAGTGTATGAAGAGCAGCTGCCAGTGAAGACTAAGGCAAAAAAAGGTTTTGTGGCATCAGAATTGAAAAGATTACATTAAGTGCTGACAACCACAGAAGGATTAAAAAAAAAGACAATAAACCAAACCAAACAACAAACCTGAAACAACACACACAGTCTTACCATGACTAAATGTGATCTCTTAAAACATGCCTGTTACTGGAATTAAGTAACTGTAAAATTAGGTAATAAGGAATCAACCTCCAAAATGCAGACTCACAGAAATTATGGTTGGAAAAGACACAGCAGGTAACCCATGCAATTTCCAAAACATTAGCTCTCCAGACAGTCATGTCCTACAAGGGCTTCAGAAATTACTCTCAGAGTCACACTTCTGTGAAAAGAAAGCTTTTCAAGGATTACAGAGATGTAAGCCCCTGCGTTTTCATTAAATAGTGGATTTTATTATCAAGTTTGTATGAAGCAAATCATACAATAATTCAGACTAGAAGGGATCTCAGCAGGTCATCTAGTCCAACTGCTTGCAAAAAAGCATGGTCAACAATGATAAGTTTGCTCAGGACATTCTCTACGACTGCTAACAACGCATGATGCAAGTATTCAAATTTAAAGTGTCTGTAACACAAGTGTTACAAGGAGTAGCCGAGGGAACTGGGACTGGAGGAAGCTCAGAGGACACCTTATTGCTCCCTACAGCTAGCTGAAAGGAGGATGCAGCAAGGCAGGAGTTAGCCTCTTTTCCCAGATAACTAGCAATAGAACAAGAGTATTGGCTTTAAGTTGTGCCAGGGGATTTTCAGGTGGGATATTAGGAAATACTACCTCTCACAGTGCTAAGCTATTGGAACAGGCTGCCCGGGAGGGTGGTTTCACTTTCCCTGGAGGGACAGAAAGGAAAGGGTAGATGTGGCACTGAGTGACATGGTTTAGTGGGTACGGTGATAATAGATTGATGGTTGGTCTAGATAACCTTAGTCCTCTTCTCCAACTTTAATGGTTCTATGATTCTATGAAATACAGACGTGTACATATCTGAGATGCTCACAGGCACACAAAACACAGCCACCAGCACTCAATCATCAGCTTAACACTCATCATGAGAACTTGGTGAAATCAAAGTCATGTTTTTATACACAGGAAGATGTGTAGACTTTCACAAAGAATAAGACAGAAAGAAAAAAAAGTAAGATGGGAGAAAAAGCCCCCTCCTTCCCAATCCAACTGTTTGGAGGAGAAGGAATGTTGTAATCCCTCCATAAATCCTGGTATTCTTCAAATCCAGAAATCAAGATTAGTAGAGATCCAAATGTTGAATTTAAAAATTTTTCATTTGTCTAATTCTATACGAATTCAAATGAATCGAGTCCTGATCTTTAAGGCAAATTTAAATTTGCTTTGATAACAGAAACAACTAATTTTGCCAGGTACATTCTACGAGCCACCATTAACTGGACCATAATTTTGAGAAAGCAGCTCTCTTAGTTGCATAATTTTGTACACTTCAAAGGAACAACTTAGAAAGCATGTGACTTTTAGTGCTGCTTTTTTTTTTTTGAGCTTCCAATTCTGAAATTCACCTTGCAGCAATGTTGTTTGTCATGAAAAGCTTTTGCAAACTTTAAAATCACCTAACCAGATACAGTAAAAATGAACTGGAAAAAATTCCTGCAAAGATAAAATGTACAATCTGCATTAAAATTTTAATATTTATCACTTGTTTCTGGGAAGTAAAGTATGTATCTGACCAGAGGCAAACTTCAACGAGACCATGAGGAATAACAATTTGGGAAATTTTACTGCATTCCAAATATAGTAAATGCAGTGTTTAAGGAATGAGAATCTTTATCAAAAATTACACTGGACTTCCATGAGAAATTAACAGTTCATGACTAAAGCATAACTAATAAATTAGTAATATGATAGGAAATTAGGATGATTATTTCATCTGATATTCTCAAAATGCTTCTACTATTAGGTACTTCAATTTCAGTACTCACTAATCAATCTTGGATAAGCTAGAGTTTTTTTTATGAGATCTATAGACTGCTGGCTAGAAGAGATGAACATTAGGATGACATTTTAAAAAGAAACACAAGTTTTTGTAATTTCAGAGAACAAAGTGTCCAAAGAAACCTAGAAATTCAATTAAGTTTTCTACTGTTAAGAATGCAGGGGGTCTTATTGTTCTCAGATAAAACCAGCACATTAAGGAATGTGACAGTAACAGGCAAACATTAATCTGCATCAAATAACATATGCAAAGTATTTGTTAATCTATTCCAAGAGCAAATTTAAGATTCATAACAAACAGCCAATAACAAAAAAACATTATACCTCCTAGGTCTTTTACTCGGGAGTCAAGCCCTGAACAAAAGGTGCAGAGCCTGTAAGAAACAAGAGTCTACGTTATATGTGTGATGTGATTATTTCACATCTAGCTTCATAACTCATTTTGAAATAACACTACTTTTGAACAACTCAGTGCAGTATGTAATAAAATAGAAGATGCAGGAGTTGCATTTACATCAGTTCCATGTAACAAGAACATCTTGTGTAATCTTGAGGACTTCTATAACTACCTTTCACAATTTTACTTTAAGAAACATTTTCAGAACAACGAAGCACAGCATAGGATTAAACACTAAAATATACACCTTTATAAGCATAATAAGGGTGGACAAAAATCTTAGTAACTATATACAATCATTAACTGAACAAAAACTTTTTTTACTCTTTCCTTGGATATAGTTCTTATTAAAGAAATTAAAATAAAACTTTTATTCATGAATCATATTCTACTCAGTTCTGTGGCATCACTCTGAGTACTCTCTGCACTTCTGGTCCCCACAATACAAAAAAGACTGTTGAAGTTCTTGAAATCACCCAAAAGAGAGCATCAAAGCTGGTAACAGGGTTACCAGCATGTATGTCCTGTGAGGAGAGGCTGAGGATACTTGGGCTGTTCAGTCTGGAGAAGCTGAAAGAAGATCTCATTGCTTGCTGCAGCTTCCATGACTGGAGAAAGCAGAGGTACCAGGCTACTCCTACTCCTGAGAACTGATGGCCACATGTGTGGGAATAGCACAAGACTGTTCCAGGAGAGACTCCGACCAGGCATTAGGAAAAATGCCTTTACTGTGGAGGCGGTAAACTATTGGAATAGGCTTCCTAGTGAAGTGTTGGTGTACCATGCCGCTTAGCTTTCAGGAGGCATTTATGCCCTCATTAATATGCTTTAACTTTTAGTTAGCCATGAAGTGGTCAGGAAACTGGAATTTTCTTTGTAGGTCTTTCTAAAATCAACTGGGAGCAAAAGGAAATTACTAGCAGGGGTAAACAACTTTCCCTAGATGCCCAACTGTATATGTAAAACTAAATGCAAAGCTACCCAAAAAGCTACTGTAAATGTAAAACTACCACATATATGGTGTGCATTTAAGTACAGGAAAGACCAAATATAAATTGAAACAGAAGCATTTTCTCCTGGATCAATAAGAAAGTGTCAACTCTAGGCCAATGTCTAAAATAATGCTCTATTTGTGATTCAGAAATAGTTGCAAAGCTTTACTTCAGAGTATTTCCTGAGTTAGAGATCTACCACACAGATGTACCATTTTTGACTCTGTATTAGACCACAATCCATGGACCACATGGGAACTCCTTGCCCAATCTTAAGTACTCAGGATTATATCATACCACAGTGATACTTCAAATTAAGAGGTTGAATGGAGAGAAGGTCTGTATAGTTTGGCTTCTAAATGCCTTTGTCACCGAGATCTACGTCAGGAAAAAAACAGAAAACAAAACAAAAAAAACCATAACTCACTAACAAGACAAGGACAGACTTAACTCCAGAGGGTTACCTCCTGACAAAAGCAATTTTAGTGACCATATTTACTTAGTCACTGAGGATTTTACCTGCCGTGAGTCTTGGTCAGCTATTCCCAACTTTAAGAACTTAGTGCTTTAAAAACAAACAAGCAAAAAAACCCATTTGATTGCAGGTATCTGGATACAAATGAAGACCATTTTAACTCCAGAGAAAGGATCTGTATAGTACTGCCATTCATCTGAACAAATAATGGTAACTTTCTCAGAATACTGAATTCTAACCATTCAAGATGTTATAGAAAGGCCTTCAAAGGTTTCCAGTCTTCACCACGATCAGTTTCTGTGACCAGACCACAAACTTCTGTTTTATCATAAAATAATCAACCACTTGAATAATTTTTAAAACTATTTAATGTCCCCTATAAGCCTTCTGCACCACAAACATCTTTTAACTTCAAAAGTCACAGAATTTATAAAATATACACAAACTTCTGTGATAAGTTCAGTAAAGCTGATATAATGAAAATATGTTGTGTTTTCTGAAAGAAAGGAACGCTAACACCAGCACAAGACATTGTTAGAATTAAAGAGCATTTCTGTTTTTCACAGCCAGGCATATACCTGTAATTAATCAAGTCCAGACGAACGATCTGTAACCTTGCTTCAGATGACTGACAATTTGAATCCTGGAAATATGTCTGTATTCTATAAATAGCTAAGAAAAGCTTGACTTGTCTACCATTAACTAGGTAGCACAGATCAGTCAGTAATCGCCCTGTAAACGCTTGAGCAAAAGTGACCACACTAGGTTCTAATGACTCACACTCAAACCATACTAGGGACCACAAAATTTTACAGAGTTCTCTTAGAGATGGACTGGTATCAGACTTAGACAGGAACAGGACAAGATGCACAGAAGAAATGCCAGAATAGTGAAAATTCTGACCTACTATTGGAATGGGTAGCCCATAAACAGTGTTGGCTCTTCATTCCTTGACATACTCAGAATTGAACAAGTCTCTGAACAACCTACGCTTTGTCCTCCTTTAAGCAAAGTTTTGGACTAGGAAACCTCTACTTCCATGTATGATATAAGAATCAATACTTTGTTTTATTAAGAACAGTACAGCTAGGAAATGTATTGAATCACAGAAGCAAAGGCTGTAAAAAATTAAAATTAAAATTAAAAGAGATCATTCTCCAGTTAAATTATACTATTAACAACTAGTATCTGTTCAAGAGCATTTTAGAATTGGGTTTGTTAATGACAAGTGAACCAATATCCAGAGAAGAATGGAAGGGAAAGTATATCTAGAAGTCTCCACAGACACAGAGGGGGCCACAAACAGCAAAATCCGAGTGAAATATTTTTATCGTGACTTCATAAAATAGTCTTGAGTAAATCTCTTAAAACAAAGATATTTCCTGAGGAAGGATGAGGTGATGCTAGCATGAAAAAATGTTTTACAAGTAAAAGTGCGTAGCGAATATTTATTATCTGGAAGTAATAGAAAACTTGGTTTATTGATTAATTTGCTCAAAATCTTTCAATTTGAACTGTGATTAGTTCAAAACTCTCAAAAAAGTTCATTAAGTTGCACAATTCAACTGTGAACAAGGAAATACATCTACAAATAGCAATTCTTTTTTTTTAATTATTATTTTGTTAAAGTTCACATTTCATAACAATTTGGCTCGAAAAAAACCTTTCATTTAAGATTCAGCAATCTCTATCTATGTTTTACTCTTGGTCTTCACAGACACAGTGCTTTGTTTCTCCTAAAAGAAGAGCTGTATTTCAAAACCAGACAGTAAAGAGTTCATGCAATTGGACACTTCGACTGTACGTTTACTTTTTGTAAATTGCTTACTCAGATGACACAACCTTTTTACTTGGAAGGAAATAAATAACTGGTACTAAAGCATCTACAGTTAAAGATTTTGGAATACAAGGACACACATGTTCTTCCATAACCTAAGACAAACCTAAGAAATTGAGGCTTCGAAAGTACAATAGAATGGTCATATTTCAAAGGCATTTCTACTTAAGTTATTAAGTTTCAACAACTTAATTGAAATAGTTAAGCTTCTCTATTGTTTTAACAACCAGCCTACCTGAATGCCATCAAATATTTTTACTATCAGAAAATGCATTTTTACAAGAACTTAAAAAGAAGAGTCTTATGATGAAGTGAGAAGCTTTCCAAGCATAAAAACTCTAAAATATCAACACAAGAGAACTTTGACACTGATTTAAATATCTAAAAATATAGTTTTTCACACAGTCTCAGTAACAGAGCATCACAGAAAAAATTTACTATGCCAACATCCCAAACTAAAACATAGGCTATGAATATACATACATACTCAAAAGAACATGGGGTAGCTTGAACAAACTAATAATATTAATTCAAAGTGGAGATCTCTTCAAATTAAACAATAAGATAGGAGAATTGGAGATTTTTTTTTTGCTTTTTCTTGCTTTTTATTTTTAAACTAGTGCTATGGGAAAAAAAAATCATCTAAAAATGTGAGCTTCAAAATTAAATAGATCCCCTTGATTTGTATTTAAAAATGAAGCTTTTCATCAAAACATGGAACAGTAAAGATCAAAATAAAGAACACTTTTAAATATAGTAGTTAAACATTACGAAAGAAATAGTGTTTTTCCTTATTTTTCCTATGTTTCAGAAGAGAAGGCTCTGGGGGTACTTCAATTACTTCCAGTAACTGAAGGGAGCCTACAGGAAAGCTGGGTTGGGATTTTTTAGAAGGGCATACAGTGAAAGGAAAGGGGGAAAGGGTTTAAAACCAAAAGAAGGTAGGTTTAGACTAGATATTAGGAAAAAATTCTTTACAGTGAAGGCGGTGAGACACTTGAACTGGTTATCCAGAGAGGCTGCGTATGGCCCCTTCTTGGAAGCATTCAAAGCCAGGCTGTATGGGGCTTTGAGTAATTTGGTCTAGAGGGAGGTGTCCCTGCCTATAGCAGGTGGAGTTGGGACTAGATGATCTTAAAGGTCCCATCTAGCCCAAACCTGATTCTATGAAGACTGAGATGACAGAAATTCAGGTTTCAAAGAGCGAACTATATGCAGTCTCGTATCTTTTAACTTCATTATTTACTGGGCAATTTCGCTGGTTTAGTCTACCAACTCACCACCGAAGCCAAGTTTTGTTTCACTGAAGTCAGCAGGAAAAATTCCGACTACTTGAAGAACTGCAATTCATACTCTACGCTTACACTCTATAATATCAAAAACAAGTGCATTTCACAGCTTGAAACTTCAGACTGTTTCTGTGGGTGTTTTTCTGCCGATTTTAGCAAAAGCATTATTGTAAATAAACAAATTCATATTTGAGAATATGATATTTCTCAAAAAAAGCATAAAAATCAGAGCTATTTCCTTTCTCTCCTTAGAAATTGACATACATTAAACATACCTTCATTTTTTAATGTAAATTGTCATTTATCATCTAGCCTTCTAACCTGGAAACTGTAATCAGATCACAGTGTATTTTACATTAAAAGAAAGGTAATATATCTGAATAATTTTAACATAGCTGGTACCTGCTGAAGAGTCTCCAAAATAAAAGCACGTTATATTTTTGCAATATTCTTCTTAATTTAAAAAAAAGAAAAATTGCTAACAGAAAAAATAAACTTCTCGAATCCATCTTAAACACACTGCAATACATTAAGCAGACTCACAGATCAATATCTTTAAAATTGTAAAAACAATTTGAAACTGTGAGTTTACAGTTTTACCTTGGCCTCTTTCAAATGTGACTGATTTTTAAAACTGTGCTCTAAAAGTATAAAAAAAATACATTTTTTATGCTTCCTATGGCAATTAAGAAAAAAAAAAAACCAAAACTATAACTGCATCTTAGCCTGTGTATAAATTCACCTTACCACTGGGGCAATGTGTGTTGAGGAAGAGTTGGAGAGGAGGGGGTTGAAATGGGTTCTCTTCAAGGAGACAGACAATTTAAATGGAACTGTTCCCAAAATTAAATGTAACTTGTCTCTGTTTCTGAAATTTTCAAGCATATTAATTCCTGTATTTTCTCCTTTCAAAGGAAATGGTTCTTGAACTAGTACTGCTTTTTTTTCCATTCCAGCAAAGAATAAGTCAGGCCTCTATGTACCTTACAAGCAGTTCAGACATGCATTTATCAATTCATCAAATCTCATGTACCTGCAAAATCAGTAAAGTCACATAAAAATATTACAAACTTTTTAAGCATTCATTAACAAGAGAAAACTACTCACAAAAATCCTAAAACAGATTATTTATCTTTTAATAATAAAATGAACCTGATCCTAGACTACCAATACCTCATCTTGTTATTTACCACCCAGCAATTCTTATTCAATTTCCATATGGATTTTCTAGGTTGACAGTAATTTTTAAACACAAGTATTTACACTGACAATTTCTGAGAAGCTTTCTGCAGTTATTTTAACAGTACATTAGTTCTAACCATGTCAGCAAGAACTCATCCAGAAGAAAAAAGATTCACATCAAACTTTTTAAAGTTTCCCACATAACAGACAGAAAAAGGACAAAAACTTGAGCCCCCATCAGCAGACAGCATAACAGACCACAAATTTTCACTGATAACCAGCCCTTCAAATCAGACACAATTCTTCAATTTGTAATCTGTCAGAACAAAACATTGATTTTTCACTCAAGCAGCTTACAGAACTGAAGGCAAGTCAACTACAGCACGTATATCACATGCAAAAGTCTTTAGAAATTCT